AAATAAGTGTTCACCGGGCCAGGATATGTGTTCACTTTCCCGAAATAAAATGTTCAACACCATACCCAAACATAACCGAAACTGGGCAGCCCACCCCGTCTAAAGAGCGGGGTCGTTTTACTGTTACAGGAAGGGTCTAATTTATATATATATATATATATACAGATAGATAGATAGATAGATAGATAGATAGATAGATAGATATGTATTTTTTATATATAATGTAACAAGTACTTTATAGCAAACAGCATGCACCACAAAAATCTGGTCTGAAGACAAAGGCCCCTATGTTACCCCTCTTCTCCCCCGTCCCTTCCTTCTGAGCGTTCTGCTGCCATTCTTTGAAGCGCGGCTCAAGGGCTCGGAGTTCGGGCGCCAGCCCAGGGGACGCCATCGCAATAGTTATCTAATTTAGGGCCCCTTTCTCCCAAAGGGTCCAAGTACTCGTATAGTATATACTTTGGGGGCCCAAATACGTACCTACTAAGTACCTACTATAATGGTACTTGGACCCTTCGGGTCTTCTAAGGTCCCTTTCTTTGCAAGGGTGCCGTACTATATTTGGGACCGTTGTTTAGGTCCCCTAAGTCAGAGAACTACGCATCTAGGGGAGTTCACACTTGGAGAAGGGTTCTGGGGTTTGGTATAATGTAGTTTAATATGTAACTACTCATATAAGGAACCCGAAGGTACACGCATCTTGATCGTTGCAGAGAGCACCGGCTTAGGCTTGGGGTATATGGGTTTAGGGCTAATGGTCTAGGGCTTGATTTACGGTACCGTCAAGGTTTGGGCCATACAACGGAGCCTTTTAGAACCCGAAACCCTAAACACCAAATCCTAAGCCCTAAACCCTAAATCCTACACCCTCTCTCTCTCTCTCTCGCTCTCTCTCTCTCTCTCTCTCTCTCTCTCTATATATATATATATACACACCCTAAACCGGCTTCGACATGTTTCGAGGCAGTTGCTCGCGGTCCCCTTCAAGCCAACGCTTAGAAAAGTGGGTTCGAATCCGGGTGGCATTTTATCGTCTAGGTCTAGATTCCAGTGTATGGGTGTGTAGGGTTCAGGCTACAGGCTGTGGGGTTTAGGGCTATAGATTTTAGGTTATGGGATTTTGAGTTTGATTGGGTTTAAGTATTAATGGGCCGTGGGGTTTAGGGCTTTAGAGTTTAGGGTTTCGGGTTTCCAGTTTCAGGTTTTTGAGGGCTTTAGTCGAAGCAAGGGTTCTCCAGGATGTCGGGTCCTTTTGAGGGCACTCACGGTCGACTTTGGGGCTGAACTTAGCCGAAACCTACAAGGCTAAGCAAGGTTTGGGGTTTGGGGTTTAGGGGTTTGGGGTTTGGCGTTTAGGTTTCATGGTTTGAGAGTTTAGGGGTTTAGGCTTTAGGGTTAGAGTCTTAGAGTAGGATTGTATAACCCACCAAAGAAAGGTTGGGGGTTTAGGGTTTAGTAGGATTGTCTAACCCTTCAAAGAGCCCAGACCCTCAGGAGGATCTAAAAAGTAGATCCCCTAAATTGGGACTCTGTACTACTCAGACCCTTCCGCTATGCCTTAATCAAGGAATATACCTCAAATACCCCTAAAACATATTAGGATCCTACTGTAATTTTACGTATATTCCTTAAGTAAGGGACATTGGAGGGTCTGGGTACTGAAGGGTGCTACCCTAAACCCTAAACCGCTGAGGCTTCTGAATGGATCTACGTTTTGCATCCTCCCGGGAGCCCGAACGCGGAACTGCCGTAAGAACAGGGCTCCTTTAAAGGAGTGCCGTTCCTGGATCTAAGGGCTACTTTAAGGGTTCCATAAGGCAACCTAGGGACATAGAGGCCGATGAGCAGTATGGCTAGGGTTGAGGGTTTAGGTTTAGGGCCTAGGGTTAAGAGGTTTTGAATAAGTCCCGTTGCTCAGGGGGTGAAGGAGATGTGAGTGGACTGTTGTTATGCTAGGCTAAGCTCCAGGCACTTAAGCCGCATCCTAAACCCTAAACCCTCACCAGCCTTACCATAAATCCTAGATTCTAAATCCTAAACCCCAGCCATAAACCCTTCCCCCTCCCCCACCCCCACCCCGGCCCCCTTCGCTAAGCTCCCCCACGCAGGGTTCGAGTTCGTCGGCCAGAGATCCCTCAGAAACACACGGAACGAGGGTCGGTGTTAACACTTGGATAGGTTTTTGCTAGCATTCTATATGGATAATTCTGAGGGCTGGCTACCGTTTGGGTTGGGGTTAGGGTTGTTCCTTTACGGGTTCCTAAAGGTCTGTCAGGCCTCCTATAAGGGGTTGGGGTCGGGGCCAGGGGTTTAGGATTTTGGGTTCTGAGGACGATGGAGGATTCGGGCTCTTGGGTTTGGAGGTTAAGGCGTAACTCTGAAGTTAAGCTTAGGGTTTAGAGATGAGGCAGGGCATTTAGAGCTTCGGGATCAGAGCTGTGTGGCCTACGGGGTGTAAGACTTAATTGTATGTATGTATGTATGTATGTATGTATGTATGTATGTATGTATGTATGCATGTATGTATATGTGTATGTTGCATGTATCTATGTATGTATGTATGTATGTATGTATGCATGTATGCATGTATGTATATGTGTATGTATATGTATATGTAGATGTATATGTATGTATGTATTTATGTATGTGTAGGAGGTGTATATGTATTTTCTCGACTCTGGTATCCAGCGATGAAAGCTGCTCAGAGCTATTGCCGTGTATCGGTTGCATAGCCATCGAGTGTCTCCCCTACTTCATCCGCTGCGTACCCTAAACCCTGAACCCGATATGTCGCGCAGGTCAGGGGCGAGCGAACTTGTGGAGGGCAGGGTGGTCACAACAGTGCACCGACTGCACATCGATACCAAACGATATCCATTCTGGACCTTTGCAAGTAGCAACCCATCCGCTATTCCTAATGCCAGACACTCTAAACCTCAAACCCCCAAACCCAAAACCCTAAAGCCCATACTAAACGCACTGACCTCCGTGCCTAAGCTCGGCACCCACTTCTCCGAGGAAGGAAAGTGATCAACGGCATAGACTGGTGCTTCGACAGGTGAGTCCTCGGCTAGGACTTCGTGTCGGCGGTGACCAAAACCATAAATAATACTCATACAACAAAAATCGCAAACATCGTAGTAGCAGCAGTGGCACTAGCAGTAGCAGGAGCAGTAGCAGCAGTAGCAGCAGCAGCAGCAGCAGCAGCAGCAGCAGCAGCAGTAGCAGTAGCAGTAGCAGTAGCAGTATCGATGGCAGTGGCAGTGGCAGTAGCAACAGCCGTAGGAGTGAGAAGGGGTAGCAGTAGCAGTAGTCATGATTCAAGATAATAGCATTAGTTTTAGTACAGGTATCATATTTTTTTATTACTATTATTATTATTATTATTAGTAGTAGTAGTAGTAGTAGTAATAGCAGTAGTAGTCGTCGTGGTCGTCGTCGTAGCCGGGGTAATAGTCGGAGTAGGAGTATTTAACATATCTGCAAACTAGGTGCTGGCGATTTTAGACTTATTTGCAGTGTAATTAAACTGCATCCGTACAGCCATCGGGCATGCATAGTAACTCTACATCCGAATTTTTCATGATGTTAGGATCATCAACCCCTACAAATTAAACCTAAGATAGCTTCCTATAGTTTCCGGTACTGAAGGCAGGAGGACATCTTGGGGTCTGGCAGGAACATCTCATGCTCTTCTGCACGAGACTGGCCTTGCGGAGTAACCCTAAGGAGCAGTGTACTATACTATATACTTTGAAGACCTGTATAGAAACCCCTGTAATGCCGAAGCATAATATGCTATATCGGGCCATGGACCCTTGAGGTTATTTAAGGGCCTTAAGATTGGGCTAGCATCCTTGTTGAGGGATGAGTCTAGACTGGCATTTCTAGCATCATGGCTTTCTAGACCTAAGCCCCAAACCCCTATACCCTGAATCAGTCTAGCCGAGCGCGTTGGGAGTATAGATTTCGGATCGAGCTATACCTACTGTATATAGCTCTGTATATGTCTGTATATATATATATATATATACATATACACATAGCCCTGTATAGTAAAATGTCGGACTTGCTTACAGCATGACGTGTAGCAACTACGTCACCCGACACACCTGCAACTCAAGGCTTACACTCGATACCTTCCGAAACCCCAGGAATCTCCCGAACCCTAGGCCCTAAACCGTAAACCCTAATTAAGCCCTAAACTGGAATCCTCCAAACCCTAAACCCTAAACCCTAAACTCTAAACCCTAAACAACCCTAAACCCTAAACCCTAAACCCTGTAACCTCCCGAGGACCGACCTTCCAAGCCCCAAATCCCAAATCCCTCGTCCCTAAGCCGCAAACCCCATTTAGGGGTTTAGGGTTTAGGGGTTTAGGGGTGTTAGGGGTTTAGGGGTGTTAGGGGTGTTAGGGGTTTAGGGGTTTAGGGCTTAGGGGTTTAGGTGTTTAGGGGTTGAGGGTTGAGGGTTTTCCCTAAACGCGCCTCTCCAGGTGGATGAAGGTAGCTGTGTGAGCGATGCCGTGCCATTGGCCTTCGTGAGCACGAGAGGCTCAAGGGTTTAGGGTCTTGGGAGTTAGGGTTTAGGGTCTTGGATTGAGGGGTTTCGGGTCTAGGGTTTAGGGTTTAGGGTTTAGGGTCTTGGATTGAGGGGTTTAGGGTCTAGGGTTTAGGGTCTTGGGTTGAGGCCTTTGGTTTTAGGGTTTAGGTCTTTGGGTTTTTCCTGGCTCCTATTATTGTGAAAGAACTACCTTGAAACCCCTATATAAACCCTGGACCCCTAAACCCTAAACCCTAAGCCCCCTTTTCAAGGCGTCAGTAGGTTGGGCCCTTTGATGGTTCATGGTTATAATACATATAGCAAACTATACCCCAAAACCCTATTCTAATTGTTGGGTACCCTATACTCCAATAGGGTCCATGTGCCCAACAAGTGCATACTTGGGCCCTCAAGTACATAATTATACCGCCTACATTAAGACCGAAGTAGACGACATATGGGCTGATGGGCACCTGGACCCCTGCCCTGAGAGTCCAAGTGCCTAAGTATCATCTACTCTCCAAAATCGTAATCTACGGAGCTACTATCCCAAATATGCGTCTTGAACTGGCTCATAAAACCCTACGTATAAACTTGCTGTAGAAGCCCCTTCCCAAAAAAAAACACTGATTATTGGGTCCTTTGGACCCTCAGGGTTAGGGACGATTGGAGGTGCCAGGATCTTCCTGCTACTAGGTCCCGTAATGGCGTCCTTAAACCCCCAAGCCCCAATCCTATAAACCCACCTGTAGCCCCAAAAACCTATCTCTGGAGGGTTTCACATTATGGTTTCTTGGTTAGTATACTTCAATATGAGAGTCAGGGGTGGTTTTTGGGCTACAGGTATTGGAACCCTTAATAAAAAAAAAGGGTTACCCTGAGGCTCCAAGTATACAACTAGTACCTAGTCTACAAAACAAATAGTATCTAGTTTGGGCTATTTGGAATCTGCGGGTGACACTAACCTTCAGCGGAACCCTCATCAAACCTTTGCAACTCTGACGGAAGATGGTAGATGTCTTCGAATGAGCCAAATTCGTGGCACTAGTACCCGCATGCCAGATTAAGGATTAGGAATCAAAAGCTTGATCGCCCAAAAGGATGGCGTCGAGAGCATGTCATGTGCAGCAGAGTCTGTCACCTCCGTTGACCGTCGCAGCTATTCCTAGAGCATGACGGACTCGCCGGAGCGCCACGTAATGTAGGGACCTTAATGATTACCTATACTATTTTAGGGGTTCCTTATCGTAACTATAGTATAATGGGCCCCAAAACCCTACTCTAATTACTAATGCCCCTATAGTACCCAAAGGATGTCGGTGCAGGTAACAAAAGGACCCGAACACTCAGCCGCATAAGCCCAAAACCCTAAAGCGTAAAACCCCAAAACCCTAACCCCTCAACCGCAGCCCCTAAACCCAAACCCCAAACCCCAAAGCCCAAAGCCCCAAAGCCCTAAACCCAAAACCCAAAGCCCCTAAGTCCGAAATCCCAAAACCCTAAGCCCAAAGCCCAAAACCCAAAGCCCCTAGCCCTTAAGCCCCTACTTAGAGGTCCAGGGGACTTAGTAAGTCGGTTATAAGTAAGGTTATAAGTAGGGCAGCTCCACTTAGGGTACTTATAACTCTACTTACAGCCTACTTACTTTTTTTTGGGCCTCCAACCCCAAGCCCCTAAATCCGAAATCCCAAAACCCTAAGCCCTCTACCTAAGCCCCGACCTAAACCCTAAAACCCTAAACCCTAAAACGCTAAACCCTAAACCCTAAACCCTAAACCGTCCTAGCTCCGATAAACCCAGCGACCTGAAGCTGCATCTCCATCGACAGGGCCGTCTCATCGAGGTACGACATGGAGGCACCAGCCTTCTATGGCCCCGAGTCTTTAGGGTTCAGGGTTTTGGGGTTTTGGGTTTAAGGTTTATGCTTTAGGGTTCAGGGTTTAGGGCTTAGGGTTGAGGGTTTATGGTTTTGGGTGTAGGGTTTGGGGTGAGTGGGTTTGGGGTTTAGGCTTCATGGAGGCTTAGGGTGCGTTTTTGTTTGTTGCTGTTAAGGCCCGTTTTCCTGGGTGCAACTGAGGACAAAGCAATGTTTAGGGTTTGGGGCTTGTTTTTTTGGGTTTGTGTTTGCTCGCAAGTGGCCTTTTTTTCGTAGGATTGAGGATTCGGAACCCTGGATGCTGCGCCGTAAAACCCTAAGGATCTTAGAATCTTTCTTTTCGGTTATCACGCTCAGGATCCTAGGAACAATTCCGTGTACGGCCGTTACAACGGGAATCCTGCAATCGAATCCAGGCTTGACTTGAACGCTCTCTTTTTTATGACAGTAGAACTGACCCCACGATGAACACTTCGGAATTCGCAGCCTTGGGGTGCAAAGCTACATGTTTGGACCCCGTGCCCTCTGAAATGGCATACCGAAAAGTGTGACTGCCTGGGTGATGGACGTATGAGGGTTAGATCTTTGCTTCTGGGCCAAGACAGATCCATCGACAAACCTAGAATGTCTATGCACGGCTGCAGGACTGAGCCCTATGCATCCTAAACCCTAAACCCTAAACCCTAAACCCCTAAACCCCCCTAAACCCCTAAACCCCTAAACCCTAAACCCTAAACTTCTAGGCCACAAGGAAAAGACTTCAGAGACACGAACATTCAACACAGCACCCTGGTGCCTGAACCCTAAACATTCCACAAGCTAAGTTAAAGGAAACTGCAGGTGGGGAGTTTAGGGTATATAGGGCTTCTATAAGGCATATAGACCTGATAGAGGGCCCCTATAACGGTAACTACTAATGTCCTAGACTAAGTTTGAGGCCAAAGCTTCACCGTAACTCATAATTATCCTGCAACCTAACGGCAAAACTACATCCTAAGCCCTAAACATTCCAACACCTAAAACTACAATGCACCCTAAACCCTACAACTTAGACCCTTAAACCCCTAAGCCCTAAACCCTAAGACTTATAGACCCTTAAACCCCTAAATGTCCTAAAAACAATATAACATGTCCCAATGACCTACTTTGCATTGGTAACATACATCATTGGTTCCGCTTGTTTGGAGGTCAGGGCTCGATGATTGCTCCTGCTCCTTATTTAGGGGCCTGAAGAGTTACCAGGACCAATTCTGTTCGGGTGGGTTTCTGACTATAAATAGAGGATAAAATGCCGCAAAACCCTATTCAAATCCTGGGCCCTCCCCGGACCCCCCCCGGGCCCCGGGACCCCCCCGGGCCCCGGGGCCCCCCTCCTCAATATTTAAATTATATAAATTATTTAGATTATTTTAATTATTAAGGTCCCTATATTATGTGGTTTAGGGTTTAGGGTTTCAAGCCATGAACTCCTCTTAGTGGCCCTTCGTGCACGCCTTCGGTGACGGCTCGATGGTAGACGACGTCGCACCGAGGGTTTGCACCGACTGCGTGGACAAGGGGGCTTTTCAGCTCTGAAGGGTTTCGAGGTGGCTTTGGCTTTGGTAAGAGTTTACGTGGTTGGGGCTTAGGAGCTTCAGGATGCTTTGGTGTTTAACTTAAGGCTTAAAGCATTTCGGGGGGGCGGGGGCGATGTTGTGCCTCACGTTCGGCAGCTTGAGCTCAGTATGTTAGGACATCACCTTGGGCCGCTAGAACTCCAGTTGCCCAACGAACCGGTTACTGATAAGCTTTTCATGCAACCCAGCAACTGCCAGCAATCAACCATTGAGGTAACCAGAGGCCTCGGTTGATCCACAAAACCCCGACGGAGAAGTACGCAGCTGCGCTCCACCCAGCGTCTTTCAAGGGGACCCTTTCAATTTCTGATGAATTCTTGAATCCTCACATTGTGAACCGTATACACTCTTAAACTCCTGGGCCTTATTCATGTAATTCCAGACTTAACGAGTATCAGCTATCACCCATTATTCCTTAGGGCCCCTTAAACGAAAGGATCGTAACCCCCAGATAATCATCTTAGTTTAAGCCGGAAAATGCGTAAACTTTCAGTTGTACAGGGGCGAATATCATTCCCAAGCGAAGCGAGATGCACTCACCCAGCTACTAAGCTATTCAAGTCTGGGATTTTTAGTATAACCAGGGTGCAAAAAGTATAAGCTGATATTTCATTGTGGCTCCGGAATGCCTCCCTCAAAAAGTATGAAAGTATGATCCTCCAGAACCCAATACCCAAAGGGTCTAAGTATGGTAGATACTTTGGGGGCCAAAATACCTAACATATGGGTACTTAGACCCTTTGGGATAGTTATTCTTCGCCCCAAGAGCTGCCTTCTTGGAAGGTGGCGCGCTCGGCTGTGGAGGTGCCACGGAAGAGGCACTGGGACTCGGCTGCGGCCGGGCTTTCCGCTGTCGACTGCTGGGGCGCTTTGCCGGGGAGCTGGGGCTTTTGGGGCTGGGGCTGGGCTTTGGGGAAGCCTTGGGAGCAGATCGCTTGGGGCTCCCGCCCTTTGGCCGAGGGGAGGAAGTGCGGGAGTGTTCGGACTTCTTAGGGGAAGTCTCGGGGGAGGGCAGGGCACTGACACCCGGGCTGTCTTTGGGCTTTGGGCTGGGGGTGTGGTCCGCATGCTCGGCGACTGGAGCCGGTCGGGAAGGTCTGGTATCCGCCTGCACTGGGCTCCGGCTGCCTGTGAAAGGATGCCCAGAGGTCCATGTGGGTACTTCTCTAAATTAGGGTCCCTTTTCTGGGATCCTTATTATTAGGGGTGCCATACTATATCGGGGACCTAAAAAAGGACCCTGATTTGGAGAGGTACCTATGTACCTATTCAACTGTTGAGTACTCAGTTAGGCCTCAAAGGCATTTTCATACATGTAGCAGTTTCGGGCGAATACATAAAGCAGGCACATGGAAACTTAGGGAACAGCAGGGGAATTGAAGCCGAACTCCCGCACTCTCGCGTGCAGTTGGAACAGAATCCATGGATGCATCACGCTAGAAGCAAGCCTGATGTTGACTCTTGCACCTGGTGATGTGTGAAAGATGCTACAGTATTGTCGGGGCCTTACTCGTTTTCAATAGGGTTTTGGTGTATATTATACTACAGATATAATAAGGAACCCCCCAACATAGTATAGGTAATTACTTAAGCCCCTACATTCCACTCCAAACTGAAAGCCCTTGAGCCCTCAAGACTAAACGATAGCAAGCTCTGCACAAGTGAATGTTTTGCTGCGCAAAAACTCTATCTCCCTTCCCCACACCTCGGGTTTAGCAGTGAGACTTTGGACAAAATGATACGGGATATGTGGGTGGATCAAGCTTAGTTTTGGGACCCCCAAAATAGTACGGCACCCGAAAACAGGGGCCCTAAAAAGGACTCTAGTGTAGAGATCTACCCATAAAAGGTAAAGCAACTAGCGGTATCGTTTTTTGGGGCTCCTTAGCAAATAACTTAAGCATAGCAAAACCGTAGTGCTTTATAATAACAAGGAAGCCCTCTATACCAGGCCCTAAAGCCCCTCAGCCTTAAACCCTCAAGCCTAAACCCAAAAACAGAGCGTCCCTGGCCTGATGCTGGAGTTGGCCTGAGGTCACAAATTGGGGTGACGAAGAACTATCCCTGAGGGTCCATGTACCCAAACAGTTTATACTTTGGCAGCAAAGAACCTAAATCGGGACCACGCACCGAACAAAAATCCAAACTCTATACTATTTGGGCACATGGACCCACAGGGT